AGTTGTAAAAATTTAGTTGAGAAGGAGTAGTTGAATATACATGAGAGAAAACAAATGGTGGATAATATACACTGCTTTGAAAGCTGAGAGTGTGCATAATTGAAAGCATAAGTGGAATATTGGCCTCAGATAAGAGCAGGGACTTCTGTAATGTAACTAGAGGGAAAAAGAGTGGATGGTTTTAGAAGTAAGTAGGCTTGTAGCTTTGATAGCAGGAAAATAAGGCTTCAATTTTCTTTCTGATGTAGGAGGTCATGTTACCTGCTGAAAGTGAGGAGGGAATTAGGGAAGGAGAAACTGGGTGAAGACAAGCAGATCAGAGATGGTTGGAAATACTCATTGTGGAAAATGGGAGAGCGATTTGATCAAACAAATGAAATAGAAGTGACTGGGCAGTATTGAGGGACCATGAAAGTTGGTAATCATGAATAATAGTAATGTTGATGTTTAGTTGTATGACTTTCTCCAGCAGCATCAGGCTTTTCAGTGTGCACAGAGAGTGGAAAGTAAGGGTTAAGCAGAATTAGGATTTTGCAAGCTGTGTGTGGCCAAAGTTATTCAGGAATGAGAAAGAATGACTAGAGTGAGAGAAGATGGTATGCTTGAACATCAGGATCCTGGGGATAGGGGAAGGTAGAGAAAGCGTATGTTTGTTTTGTTTGTTCAGTAAGAGGGTTGGGGAGAAATTATGTTGAAATAGCATTGTAACACCACTGTCCAAACTTGACACTGTGTAATATGAGAGAATAAAATCCCACCTCTGGGGAGGGCTCTGAGAAAATCAGTGAACTAAGGGGAAAGCCTGGTTTCTTTTAATAGGTTGAAAATCTAGTCAAGTTTGTTGATCAGGGGAGGCCTTTTCAGAGTATGCAGTGGAAGGGTTTTAGAAATGGATAAAGGAGCTGAGACTAATTTATCCAGGAAGGGAAATATAGAAATTTATGTGAACGATAATACAGTATACCAGAGTATGCAAACTTTTTCTGTAAAAGGCCAAATAGTAATTTTTTTTCAGGCTACAAGGTCTCTGTAGTAAAAATTTCAATTCTACTTCTATAGTACAAAAGCAGCCGTAGAAAATATGTAAATGATCAAGTGT